TATATATATAAAAAAAATATTAAGAAATTAAATCCTCGACCGAATTATTATATATACATAAATACTAATATATATATATATAATTTTTCTAATAAAAAAATAAAAACCCCTAAACATCGCCAACCAATATTCTTATATATCACTCGCACTATAAAGCGTAACAACTCTATATCTTTCCTATTTAATTCAATTAAGGTAAGAAATTTAAATTCTCCATTATATTAGGTCAGCAAATATTTCCTTTTCGATATATATATAACCGTCATTTCAAAAACCAAATAAGCATTTTACCGGCCTCCATTTTCTTTATTAAATTTATAATTCCAATTTTTTTTTTGAATTTCTCAATTTTCCTATAATTCATAATCGGTATAGTAGTAATCAAATTATCAGCACAGCAACCGTAGATTCACCCTATTTTTTTTGTTATATGTCTTATCTAAATAAATATGTTATATGTTCCTGATTGATATATTTTTCGCACAAGAAATTCGGTAAATAATAAGAAATGCGAGTTTCGGGATGTACAACGGATTCGTTCTCTCATGTCATAACACCAAAAAAGACCATCCTTATTTCCCACCTAAATAATAACCTTCTATAGAGGGTAGGGCACATCTTTAAGCTCGGACAATTAGGCGACAGGGGGGCGGGGACATGGGGACAGTGGGGCATGGGGACATTGGGGGCATGGGGACATTGGAGGCATGGGGGCACGAGTACAAGAACCACAGTTCATCAACAACTCTCCCACCTTTAGAGTTCGACAGTCGGGGGACAGGACGAGTAGGGACATCCGTGGACCCTGTCTTTAACTCGTCAAGGACGTTATCAGCCCCACCCACCCTCCCTGTTGAGTATAAGCGAGCATGTGCAACATCTCAACAACGGCAACAAGTTCCGTGGACCCTATCTCAAAGGCGTCAAGAACGTTCGAAACGCCCCCATCCCCCCGGTTCCAACCCCCGCCCGTCCAGGCCTCCTCCAAGAGCCATTGGCCCACCCCGGCCTTGATGCCGCTTAGCCCAGCGGCGCAATTCACCCTCAACCGGACCGAGGTATTCATAGTGTTGCAGGGCAACCAAATTTTCCAAAGCACGAAGCAAAGGCGAAGTCTGGGCCGCACTGTCATTCTCTTTGGCTGTGTTTGTCTGACTAAGCAAGGCCTAGAGGCTTTCAAGCAATTTACAGTACTATCAAATTCAGAGGGAGAACCACCTCCGCACAAATGCGGATGCAAAGCAGTGGCAACAAAACTAGTTCCCACATCAACTCTTGCCACAGTTTCATGTCTCTGGGTCGCAAAACCCCTTGCCATCCAAAAGTCAAAACTGCGATGCTGCCAGTAGAGAGAAGGTGACGACAACAAGCTGCCACACTGACAAACCTGCTAGTCAGTGCACCCAATAGCTGCTCGAAACTTCCAAACATTCTGTGAATAACCATGAAGTCAAGACTGGACAGGCCCAATCGCACCACGACAGGGCGCCGTCTGAGAACACGGACAAGATGAAACCTACCTGTCGTCTTTGGCCATCTTTGTCGCCGGTGTGCAATCCACTGTGCTGAACAACAAACTGATGGGACACCAGCATAACAACATCTTAAAAACTCCAAACATGCTAAACACCCAAAGCAAAGCATGATGCAAACTGCGTGAAGGACATGTTGGCACTGAGGAGAAGGGCCCGGCCAAGGACCCAGCAGCTCAGCCCAGGAGAGGCCCTCGGAGCCCATGTCATACTCCCTAATTTTTCACGTGTGCTTCGCATACATTTCGCATAGGGTTCACATATTATATTTGCACATACATTGCATATACACTGCACATACAATTCACGTATATATATATATATTACATACATGGTAAATGTGTTTATTTCGTATGCGTCTGGTGCGCAGATCCCATGTATTTCACATACGTTCTACATATGTTTTATATGCGTAAAACACTTAGGATATGGATATTTACTCCTCGTCAGGCTCCTATAGACGGAAGTCTTGAAGCCTTCTGGGATTCAGCTAAACTATATGTGTATATATATATGTGATATTTAAATATGTTTAAATATGTTTAAACATATTTAATTTATTTGTGAAATAGTTTCCAATAAATATTTTGGCATTACGACGATTATGCAAGTCGCGCAAAATAAATATCCAAGAAATTTCAAGGTTGTAATGTAATAATTACACAATTTTATTGATTTGGGTCGAACGCCGTATCCTTTTCTATTTTTTTGATCTTTCTATACGTATAGTTTTCAAGATTTAGCTTGAGTACGTTACAAAATCAGCTGGAATCGACAAGGGGGACCTGAGTCTGTCAAGAATCGAAGGATGCCCGAGAAAGGAAAAGTACTGTCCCGAAGCAACAAAATGCAACAAAGCCACATTTCCATACATTTCCTCAATCTTTTGCAAATTCCGGGCCATTCTTGTTTCCACATTTCAGCCTTGAGACCTGCGATCCTGGCTGCAGGCCTCTTTTGCGAAAAATAATATCCAGCATCATTTGACCCTTCAATCTTTCACCTTGGAATTTCGATTTATTTGATGAAATCATTGTTTTGATGTGTCATGTAAATATCATTTCACCATATTTCACCCACACACTTCACACCTCGTTCAAACGCAATAATAACAATCCTGTTTTTTCTGGCACACACGTATTTTCCAAATGATCTGTTGAAGCTTAAGGCATCTCCATTTAGGTCTCCTTGGCGGCAGCCTCCTTGGCCTTCTTGATCCTCTCGCCTTGGTAGTGTGCTGCTGTTCGTGCTTTCTTCAGCTTCTTGTAGGCGGATTCGGACTTCTCCTCCTCTGTGATGGCTCGTGCCTTGATGCGTTTCTGTGGTTTTGGCACTGGAATGATCTCCTTCAAGGTGTTTTGCGCCACGTTCTGCAACTCTGATCGCGGGGTGTCACCCTTCTTCACACCCTTTGCGCCAGACTTCTTGGGGAACAGCAGCAACTTGGACATGTAAAGTTTCAATCGTTCCACATTGGCCTGGAGACTCTCGGTACATCGATTGCGACGGCGATGGTCCACTGCGATGCCAATGGTCTTGGCAAACTTTCTGGGGATCTTTGCCTCTTTCAGCTCATCCAAGGTGAAACCTTTGCCCAATCGCACCTTCATGTTGTAGCGTTGTGTTGGAGGGTGCACCAACGGACGAAGCAATCCTGCAGCTGGACGAGGAAAGATCTTGGCTGCCTTTTCCTTGCGAGTGTTTGCTCGACGCTTCTTGCGGCCAGCCTGGTTCAACCAAGTTCGCATGAATACCCGGTTGTTGCGACCAGACTGGCAGCCATTGACTTTTCGGAAGTGCACATTTGGAATGACATTGTTGCCTCGCACAAAGATAGCAAAAAATGTCCAGACTCTTGTCAAGATCAGTGAAGGAGAAATGCTGGTAGCAAGCATTCTTTCTGTCAACACATGTTCAAACCTCTTGTATTCTCCAGTCCACAACTGTTTCTTCTTATTTTTCCCCCAAACAAAGGACGGTATCATCAAACCTTCACTCTTCCAGAGTCTGAACCCTCCAATCCTAAGAATTCCACATTGCTAGACGCTACCTAAAAACTACAAGCGTAAAAGGGTTCTGCGTATCCATGCTTGAGCAATGGCATCTTTGAATGGGGGGTGGGCAAATGTGGGGGATGCGAGCATGTTCAATCACAAATTCGTAGCTGCTTTCACAATTGCGACTACCAAAAACACAACCACAACACAAAAGGCAAACCACAGGAAAGCATCTCAAACATAGTTTCAGCTATGGATTCAACATGTTTCAACTAAGTCAAGCATATTTTGCCCCTTCTCATGGTGCCTCCGTGACCCATGGCTCACCACTCGGCTCTCCTGAAAACCTCCTTCCCGTCTGAGCCAAAGCTTCGCAAGCATCTGGGGAAGCACCATGCCTCTCTCCAAAATCTGCATTCCTGATATTTTGATATATTTTGCATAATGCCACATATTTCATTAAATTTCAGAATTGCCACGTATTGCCACAGCGTCATGATGAAGCGCTCGCAAGGTCTAAACTGCTGGAAAACGTGAAGCCTAGTTGCAGTGTGGCATCATAATTATATACATTATATCATATCATTATCTGCAAAACCACTACTGCCAAATTCTCTCCCCTCAGCAAATTTCAATTTTTCATCCTAGCTGATTTGTCGTTATAGCCTAACTGGCTCAACCGTATGCCGTCAGCAACCTCAGCGGCCTCAGCATAGGCGAGGTCAGGCACTGTGACAGCTCGCTGCTTCAAGCCTCGAACTTATAGCCGCCTTTGTGGCGAGGACAGGCACTGTGAAGATATCCGAGATCCAAGGTCTGGATACGTCTGGGACGTCTCCAACCTTTGGAACGCTGGTGCAAATGACTTTGCTGCAAACCAGTCTAAATCTGCAACTTTCTGTTCAGCTGCGCGACGCTTTCAGGAAAGTGAACAACACACAACACACGTGGTCCATTTATACTGACAAACTAAGTTCTTTTCAGGCCTGTTTTACACCAACGGCGTCTCAATATTTCCTGAGCGACTGTGCAGCTGTAGCAGTCCTTTTGAGATTATATAGACGCGTTTCTGAATTTCCATGCAGCGCTCACTGAAGCTGTGACCTCAGGCTAACTCTGGACAATATCAGACCATGGGAGCTCTCAAAAATTTGCAGGACCAATCACACGGCGTCGTTGAAACGTCAACTTCAATGTCCAAACATGTGGCAGCTTTACACATTTACACCATCGACACAAATTCACGACAACTGCAAAGGAACTGTTCAGCTAAGATGCAAAGGAACTGGCGCTGTAATGGCCGGCTTCCTGCGTGAAAGAGATTCTGCTGGAATGACAACTGTGGCCCAGGATTAAGCAAAGTCCTAGACGTCACCAATCTCTATATATATATTAATATATATATATAGTATTATTCTATATTATTCTTGCTTGGCAACTTGAGGAACTTCAACCAAGACTTGCAGGTTGTCTCCAACAGCGCCAAAACTGCCAATGGCGGCAAGCTCAGAACCAAAAAGAGGTGGGAGCTACAACTACTGGAAACAAAATATATAAGACGTATCTGGACTCCAATAAAAAATAACCTGATTCCTCTGCAAGCTTCTGTTTCCACACAGGCATACCCTCTCATAGTTGCTAGTCACATTTGTCGTTCCATCCAGGACTTGGGCTGCTATCATGTCCTCTGACATGGACATCTGTTCCATGACTCTCTAAATTCTCTAATGGTCCACTTCCACTTCCAACGGTTTCCGTGTCTTTAATTTTCGTTCGTTCTAGAGTCTAGAGTGCCCCCCAACAATGTTCAAGAACACCCTCGAGGGATCTTCATGCACCACAGCACATTTCATCATTCTGATGACATGTCTCACCGGCGAGCCTAATCTCCGGCGCAGGTGGCTGAGGCGGCTCCGGCTGTTCCGGCTCCATCCAGGGCTCCTTCGGCGCATCAGCCAGCCGCACTTTTAACGGCCTGTCAGGGCACCACAACGACTTCAACAATCTGACAAATTGACATGCATATCATACATTATCAGTAGAATCTAATAGATGCTTAGTAGTCTTTAGATGAAGATGAAGTTAGTAATATGTAATATGTTTTCAAGACACTTTCTGTGTCCTTGCCTTGGCTTCCCTCGCACCAGGATCTCTTGGCCAGTCAGCTGTTCCAGGACTCGATCAGCCGCTTCTGCGCTGACCTGAGAGTGTGATCAAGAATATCAAGACAAAACAAGAATAAATCTTCTATAATCTTGTCATATTTCCCCAGATAGCGAAGCTATTGGGGTTCTTACTTCAAGTATAGGATGAGTTGGATATGTGAGTTTTGGAGCGGGCATGTTGGTGCCCCTGCAGGGTGCCGCTCAGGGTGCTGCTGTTAGAGTGGTGTGTGCGCTTTGGAGCTGGCATACTGGCGGCGCTGCAGGGTACTTCTGCAGGCTGCTGCTTCAGGGTGCTGCTCTTAGAGTGTTGTGTGCTGCTGCTACAGGGTACTGCTGTCAGAGTGCCGTGTGCGCTATGAAGCTCGGGTGCTGGTGTCGCTGCAGGGGGTGGCTGCGAGATGTCTATGGCAGTGTGGGCATTGGGCCCTGATGGGGATTACGTTTATGCTCTAGCAAAAAGGAGCGCTTGGTTGCCACCAAAAAATATCTTTTGCTATCTGGGGTCTATGCTGGCGTAATTGCCACCTGAGACAGTGAAGACTGGTAAACTGATATCAGTTTCCTGCCGTTGGCCTTGCTCTTCAGCCACGTGTGATCACGTGTGACTTGCTAGGTTTCCGTGCTATGTGAAGAATAGCCCCCACGCCAACCCGACCGGGCCGTTGAGATAAAAGCTTGACAGAATGGATCACATTCCGTTCGACGCCGGCCTACAACGAACAAGTTTGACACTGCGACTGAAACCTTTGAACGCTAAATTCACAGTCTTCACTCTCCAACATCCGTGCACCATCCTTCATGACTCTGCCTTATCACCCCTTGACGCGTCAAACATAAATAAGGTAATTATATAAATGATAAATGTATATAATTAAACAGTCAGTGCATGTCAGTGCATAGTCAAGGTTCGAGTCATAAGTCATAAGAGTTAAACTGGAATCAACTGGTGACGTCAAGTCGCTTTCGGAGGTGCGAATCACAGACTGGGTTCCGTGCCTGTGTCAAGAACTTGTACATATATGAAGCAGTCCAGTTGTTTGGCACCTGCAGGAACGCCCACCATTTCTATCGAGTTCGTGGTGTCAGGTTGAGCCGAATCATTATCTTTTCAAGTGAAAGAGGAACATCGAGCACACATATTTTTTTTGTCAGCTTTCATTTGGCATCCTTGCCTCACCCACATAAACGTCCTTGGCAGCTCAACTCTGGCGCAACACTGCAATACAAGCGTTCATCGCCGGTTGGGGCATATACTAGAATCCTAGAAGTGGAACTGACTGAAACGATCCCTGGTGTCATATCCTTGGGTAAACCACTCAGGTTTGTTGAATCATGCTCAATCCACACAAAATGAATCACATCCCAAGCAGCTGTGCACATGTAGTTTAGCGCTTTAGAATGCTTCGCGACTTTGGCACGTACCGGCCTGATAGCAGGTTTGGGCTGGTGCACTCTAGGCCGGGTAAGACATGACCAACAAAAGCCAAAACATGCCAAAACTATGTAAGTTTGGTGCCACGACACAAGCAAGATTTCTTGCACTTCCGGCTTCCGACCCGTACAGTATGACATTCTCTCAGCTCAGTTGATCGACGATTCCCACGGCTCCATTCTCCCCAGATTCTGGCCCCAGGTCCGCCCCTCCGTAGCCTGGTGCGATCATCTGGGTGGTAGACCCTGAAACCGTGAAGCTTTTCGGCCATAGACTCAGCTGTCTCCATGTCCTGATACCTCCAGCTGAGCTCGACAGGTTGGACACCAGATGCCATGCTGTGCACAGCGGAATGATGATGGACATATCATGACGTATCTTCCCTTCGTATCCTTTCATGCAATTCACTGGCTGCTCTAGCGGCTACTTTTCCTTACATCAGCTCAACCAGCTCCAGCCTCAGCAGGCAGCAGGCATGGCTTCCCTGCAAGACATTCAACCAGCATTGCCATGAGAGTCCATGAGACATTGATCTGTCACTGCTCCCAAATATATCAGCAGTACCTGTCCAGATGATGTCCTGACAGCCTCTAAGTGTATAACATGGTGTAACTGTCATATACTGTCATAAGCTTGGTATACCGTGACGTGTCATTAATGTAGTTCACCAAGCCTTGAATTTCTGCTGAAGGAAAGTGACTGCGACCAAGTCGTCGAGCTTCCCTCCAACCTGACGCCCAGAAAAGTCTGTGTGAGTGTGCATCCAAGAATCCGTGAGCTTAGTTCCACTTGCAGTTTCAAGATGTCTTAAGGCTAATGGTCAAGTCCAAGCCCAGCATATTGCGTTCGATAAGGCTGACAAATCCTACTCTGAATACACAGCCAGATGTATCTCAATGTCCCACTGAAGGCCTCCTGCACCATGTGCCGAACCCCATTCTCTGTGATGTTGATAGGAAGTTCGGCCACGTACACACTGGGCAAAGCATAAATTGTGTCATCCTGCAGCGGTAGCCAAGATTCCACTGAAAAGACACATGTCACGCTTTGTTGTATCGGTATCGGCTGCTCTCGCACAATCTTAGGAAAAAAGGGCCACAAATAACGTCAGACACATATTTAACACTATTCAACCATTTATCCCAAGCGATGTCACACTGATTGAATCCCAGAATTTTGTGAGTGTACTCCTCTTCACGGTCTTCGTGATCGCTGCCTCGGAGCACAATGATCGGCTACCATCCGCTACCGGTGTCCAAGTAGTTCCAACATGTTCCAACTCTTCCATTGAATTGAAATTGGACATTGCTTCATTCAACCCTCACAACTGGGATGCATGCCACCGTAGGAATTATCATCCTGCACGGGCAAAATCGCGTTGGAAACGTAGATACGCTTTATTCATTTAAATGACTAGAAATTATGAAGACAAGCGCAAACCAACCGTGATCAGAGCAGCAGTTGTACACTCTCTCAATCGCAAACAAAAATGCATGCCATCAATACCTCAACCTTTGTGAAGTTGCTAGCAAGACCTGAATCCACTCTGTCCTAGTTGTATCATTGAAATGATGGATGAAATATGATGAAATATGATGACATCATATAAATCATATATGAAATCACTATTCAAACGATCACAACCGTCTTGGCATCCTGGGCAAATGCAAGCTGCGGAGATCTCTTTCTGGCAAACCTTCAAACGGCTCCAGCGTAAGTCATCTCCCCAAGCGAAGCAATCACTCTTCCATGGCAAGGCTCTGACAGCCCTTGTTCTGAAACAATTTCCTGGTGGAACATGGTACAACTGTTTTTTTTCTCAAATCATGAACGCACTAAAATTTTTCAAAACCATGAGCTGCCCTCTGAAGGACCTCAATGAAATCAAATCCCCTGAATCTGCTATGGGCTATGGGGCTTACCATGTTGGACTTCGATCAAAAACCCAAACCGTTCCCGCAAACTATAGCAAGAAACTGAGCTCGAGGATGCTGTTCCTCCCCAGAATGCTCATTGACCTAGCTAAATTTTCGGCGGAAAGGCGTTCTGACATGTTCTGATTACGGGTCAGAAACGGCGAAATCACCCATGAGCTTTGGGGTCGTCTCAGAGGACAGGGTCAACTCATGCCGTCAAAAACTAGAAACCTCCAGAAACTTCCAAAAACCATCTAAAACAAAGAAAACCAATCAAAAAACACAGATGCTGACCAAGCAGTTCAAAATGTTCAAACCATATTGCGACAGGAGTCAATGCATGCACCTGTGTTTGCCTGGTTTTTGTCAATTTACGGGTGTTGTAGGTTATCCCTGCTGGTTTTTGATTATTGTGGGTTTACTTTTTCCCTCCAGGTGCGTGCCAAAACCGTGAAGAACCACGGGAAAGCTGGCTAAAACCACACCAGACAATGAAACGCCACACAACACCTGGAAAAAAAACATGGAACACCATTTTTGGGGATTGCCCCTCAACGGTTTGCCACTTCAGGCCTGAGAAAAGTTTACCTAAACAGAAACCAAACGCCGGGCTCAAACCAACAGATTCACGGCCACTGCTGAAAAGGAAAACTACCAGGTAAGATGCTGCAAGTTCCCTTTGTGAAGATCTCTGTAGAAGATCGTGCGCAAGATCTCGTTGACAGGTTGTCTGTAGAAGCTGCTGTGCAAGATCCCTGTGTAACGCTATCTGTACAAGGTGTCTATAGGAGATCTCCGCAAAAGATCTGCGTAAGGGATCTCAAAGTAAGGTCTTTGTCCAAACTATCTAAAAATGATCTCTGAGCAAGACCTCTGCTCTCTTCACCAGGTCTTTGTACAAAATCTCCAAAAGAGGTCTCCTGGCAAGATCTCTGCACAAGATCTCTATAAGAGGTCTCTTGGCAAGACCTCCTGGACAAGATCTCTATAAGAGGTCTCTTGGCAAGATCCTTTATGAGATCTCTGTACTTGAGGCCCAAGGGGGGTGAACGAAAGCTAAAGGTCATATGAATGTGGAACTAGGTGAGTTGAACTTGGAAACATTCAGGGAAGGTTAGACGACAGTGATCCATATGGAAGGATTCAAGATTGTTTCAAAGAAGAAATGTAATTTTCAGCTTGCATTCCTATAACATGTGAAGCCAAGAACATGGGTATTGGAAAAAGTTGGAGCCCTATCCAGAAGTGTTTTTGCTTGGACCGAGGATCAAAGAATTCTATTGGGCCCACTGCCAAACTGTTCGAAGCTCTTGGTACCGGACAAATTTTGGGCCCCATCCAAAATTATAATTTTTCGTGGGCTCAAATCTCCACAGTGCTGACCTGAGTTAGAAAGAACTTATCGAGCTCTATGTTCTGGTGAGGCATCTTGCGGAAGAGTTCCATCCCAACAACAAGTAATCGTTCGTTGCCAGGCTTAACCAAAGAAGATGGTGACAGTATAAAGTTTGGGCCCCATCCAAAAGTAGAATTTTCGATGGGGCTCAAAGCACACAGTGTTCACGTGAGTCAGAAAGAACGCTATGGAGCCCAATGTTGTGGTGAGGCATCTGGCGCAAGAGTGCCAGCCGAACAACATGTAATCTTCCGTTGCAAGTCGTAAAACATCGGAACCAAAGAAGATGGTGACTCTATAAAGCTTGGGCCCCATCCAAAAGTAGAATTTTCGATGGGGCTCAAAGCACACACTGTTCACGTGAGTCAGAAAGGACTATATATATCGAGCCTAATGTTCTGGTGAGGCATCTGGCGCAAGAGTGCCAGCCGAACAACATGTAATCTTCCGTTGCAAGCCGTAAAACATCAGAACGAAAGAAGATGGTTACTCTGTAAAGCTTGGGCCCCATCCAAAATTATAATTTTCGATGGGGCTCAAATCGACACAGTCTTGACCCGAGTCAGAAAGAATTATATCGAGCCTAATGTTCTGGTGAGGCATCTTGCGCACCCGAACAACATGTAAGCTTCCGTTGCAAGTCATAAAACGTCTCAACAAATCAACAAATCCTGAGCTAGAGAGTTTCAAAGGGACGGCCCTGGCAGGATTTGAGCCCATGACCATCTGCTTCCGAGACTGCTTCAAAATGCCCCGGGAGCTTTGGGGGGGTTCAAGTGAAAAATCATTGTGTTGGACTCAGACCTGCCCTTTCCCTTGCTGAAGCAAGAGTAACTCAGCTAGCTACCGCTAGCTTTCGTGACAAGCTCGCTTTAAAAGCTCTCTTGCAAGATTTATGTAAGAGACCTCTTGGCAAGATCTCTGCAACAGATCCCTATGCAATGTCTCTGTACAAGGTCTCCATAAGAGGTGTCCTGTCAAGATCTCTGCAAGAGGCCTCTTGGAAAGATCAGCAAAGCGCTCAAGGGCCCTTTTCCTGGTGCCGCAAACGCGGCACCAAAGTGGTTTGGGGCTCCCCCGAGGGGGGGTCCTCGGAGGGTTTGCCCTCCGGCGGTTCACCGCCTCTCTGCTGGCCCCTGCGGGGTGGCAGCTGCGTGGCTGCCCTTGCGTCGTGCCGTCGGTCCCAAGTCCTAGCGACCGCTGGTGACTGCCTCGGCCAGGGCCAGCCACCCGGCCGCTGCCCCCAGGGTGCCCATGGCACGGGGTGCTACTGGCTTTGTGCGGCGTGGTTTCCTGGTGCGCCCCTTCGCCTTCTCCTTCCTTTGGTGGCGCTGCGGTCTGCCTTAGCCGACGCGGCGGCACTCGGAGGGGCTCTTCCTGATCGTCCCTCTCCTGGCTGTCGCCCTGGGCAGGCTGCCCTTCCGATTGGGCGCAAGGATCGCCGTCAACTCACCCGGGCCCTCAACACGACCACCCATGTGGCTCCATGGCCAGACTTGGCAGCGCCACTGCCCATCTGCTGGCAGCCGCGGCGGGCACATTGGGTGCCTCGCCGTCCGCGACAAGCACGGCGGCGTCGACTTCGGAGGCGCTGCGGCTTCGCGGCGCTCAGGGTGGGCGAAGCCACCAGCCCTGGGCCCCCTGAACCTGGAACTCCGGTGGGCGGCGAGCGGCCCCGCCGCATGGACCTTGACAGTCCTCGCGAACGGTCCCCTGCCCGGAATGCGCCGCCCCGGATGTTTTGCCCAGTGCCTAGCTGCCCTTGCTCCCAGGCCCTCACTGCTCGAGGCAGAGGCTCTCATGCGAGCATGCGGCACCATCTGGATGACCATGCCTCTGGCTCTCTTCAAGGCACCCTCCCTGCTGCATACTTGGCTGCCCGCAACCTAGACCTTTGCTCGGTTTGTGGTCTGACAGTGGCACACCGCTCCAATGGGACACATCCACGCTGTCGCCCGCAGCAGCGGCAGCACGCCCGCAACAGCCACCCCTCTGAAAGGTCTGGGGCTCGGCTGGCGGGTCCTTCCCTGGCAGAAATTTTCGCGGCACCCGGGCCTGTCCTCCGACATGTCCCGAAGGCGGCTCGAAGTGGTTGGGCACAATGCTTGGCCCGGTCCCTTGCCGCAGTCGCTGACCAGAATTCGCTGTCTGCTTGGGTTCAGCTTTGCATGCTCCCAAAAGCTGTCCTCAGGCCAGCACCGCGCGGCGGGGTGAGCCGCCGCAATCAAGCTGCTTCTTTCACCCAGCGACGGTGCGCACGGTGGCTTGAAGGCTGGGGTGGATTTAGTAAGGTTCTTTGTGCTGATTGATGGTGCTTCTGTGATGAAGTGATTGGCGTTGCTTTTATTTAGTGGGTGGTAATGTGGATTTAAAACTGAAGAATGGTGTTCCGGATGTTTACAAATCGATCAGTTATAACTAAAAAACAAATATGACTGATGCTAAGCGTCACTGTGCAAAGATCCGATGTGTATAGTAGGTGATTCTGGTGTTTTTGTTGTGGCACAGAGCCCCTCCGCGCTCTGCGCGGTGGCGCCCTCCACAAACTTTACAGCAGCGCCTCCCATAAATTTTAACAAAGGAGGCAACACCTCCTTGAAAACAGGCTTGTGCGCAGGAGACCTTGCAAGGCCTTCCTTATAATGTCTGTCGAGCTATGATCAATCAATAACTTTGGCGTTGCAGGAGGTTTCGATATTAAGGGCGATGTCCTCCTTGAAAGTTTCCGGGTCGTTCTCGGGGCCACTGTGTTTATGCGAAAGCGAGCAGCACCAAAGGACATTTGTTCAGCTCACATGCCTCGGTCTCGAACCTAACTAGCAGAAGAACTTTGGTGAAGTCGAAACTTCATATGCACCAACAAGTCGTCCAGGCAAGCGAAACAGCCTTCGAAATGCGGCGCCTGGGGCAGCAGGTCATGAGGCATGGCGTTGATGGCACCCAAAAGAAAAGAAGCAGCGCTATCCAACTCACCAACCTTTCCTGCAAGCAAGTCGCGCGATATCAAAGCTGGACATTTCTCGATCTTCTCTTGCATAGGCTGGATTTGTCCAGACCTGGTGTAAAGGTGAGCGGTCCATGTACAGTCTGTGGGCTCTGTGCCAGGGCGGTCCAGCGTCATCTGAAGGATGGTGAAAAACATGATGGCACAGGCAAGCGCACATGACCTGGTGCGGTCTTCCTTGAAGAAAGGCTGGCAAAAAATCAAAGCCTCACGAGCATTTTCCAGCTCAAACGCGCTCTTCTCCTTGAGTGCTGGATCCCACAGCAAGAAGGCTTGGACGCCCAACTGCAAGTCAGCTCTGTTGAGGACACCTTGGGGCAATCTCTTCTCACCTGCTGCTGCCATGTTGCAGGTTAGACTAGTTTTGTGAGCCAAAGCCTGGGTCGAATGGGTCGATGCGATGGACAAAGCAAAACCGAGGTTGAATTGCATTGCGGCAATGTTCAGCACTGAATGTGCAAGCAATGTGGTAACCACGGCTAGCGCAGCTGACTCAAATGATTTTCAACAGGTCAAACTGGAAACATGCCGCCTATTCTTCAAAGAATGCCACGTGCTTGGAAAATGCATCGCACTAAGCGTCGCACTACACAAACAGACATGGCGTTGCCAATCATATGTCCTAATACCCTTTGTGGAAAACGTTGAAGTTCTTCAACATCTCCAGGCTTGTAGGCCCCAGGCCACACGCCTTGAAGCAAAAAAAAACTATCGGGGTGAGGAACCTCTGGCCTTGATGCCACCAGTAGCAATGCTTTCCTTTGCATCTGGTGGCAGTGAGGCAGGGGCATTTGTCCTCCATCCAAGTTGCTGAAGAACCGCCTGTGTCGACAATGAAGTCAGAGTCTTGTTTGGCCGGATTCTTGTCCAAAAAGTCTTGAAACTGGATCAAGTTCTTGCGGGCTGTGCTGGATAGAGCTGAGCCGTCGACATCGTGTGTCTTCTCCCGCAAGTTGCACTTCCATTCCATGGCAGGATTGCCAAGGAGCTGCTTGAGCGTGAGCCGCTCCTTGAAAGGCACTGGCCACTCAAAGTGCTTCACTTGCACGTCTCGGCGAATACCCACTCTGCAGAAACTCAGCCGTGGGAAGTAATAACTAAGTTGGAGGTACACTCACAGCTGGGCCAGGACTGCAAGGATCTTAAAATGTCTCCTGCTAAAATCAAGACGGTTGTACCATGCCATGCGTGTGACCCGTACTAAATTCGGGCCAACTGCAGCATTCAACGCGTATTTGACTGCCATGCTCGTGACCCGTACTAAATTCGGGCCAGCTGCAAGAGTCAACGCGTATTTGGCTGCCATGCTCATGACCCGTACTAAATTCGGGTCCTCTGGAGAGTTCAAAGACCAGGACTGCCATGTTAGCACATGGTCAACTGTGTAAGAACACGGCGGCCAAACGCGTATTTGCCTGCCGTGCTACCACCTGGCAGACCGTGCACTAACATGGCGCAGCCTCCTTGATAAAGAAAGGAGGCTGCCATGTTAGCACATGGTAAACCGTGTACGAACACGGCGGCCAAACGCGTATTTGCCTGCCATGCTGTACATGGTGAACACATGCAACACATGGCGGTCGAACTGCTTCCTGGAAATAGTAGGGAGAGGCCTTAGTAGCGATCTTTTTTAACTCAACTTGCTGCCCGCGGAAGGCAAAAATAGACAACAGGAGACTGCAGAAGCCTCCTTGCAACATGAAACGTTCGGCCTGTACAGGACCAGGAGACCTCTTGCACCTCCTTGTACCTTGTTACTGAGTGAATTCAGAAGTACGATGCCTCCGTCCTTGCAGGAGTCTACTGGAGCCTCCTTGATTGCTATTGCAGCGCATGCCAATTGACAGCCGTAGTTGCAGCAGGACAGGAGGCTCTTGACACTCCTTCTGCAATCAAAGTTGCCGAAAACAATTTCACCTTTTCTCTTCCGTCGTCGCGCACAGGAGACTTCGCTTGAACCTCCTTCGTGGACGAGTTTGCTTGAGTTGGGCGGGTGGCACTGACACACAGGAGATAGGTAGCTTTCAGCAGTGCGGTGAGCAGGCGAAGCAGCATGTTTGCGGAAACGAGCCACACGAATGTCACCACTGTTCACTTCATACCTTGCAAAGTGATGCCTGGAAACCGGAAACTTGGACATGGCTTCAGGACTCACTTCCTGAGCATCATGGCACAGTCGGCAGCCCAAGCCCCAACTGCCACTCTCCATATTCATTTTGGCGTCCAACCATGCTAATTCTTTCTGCCATACAGGCTTATATTTCACCCATGTGCATCGAGCACATTTTGCACCTGCAGAGCAAGCTTTCACATGTGCATCATCATCATAGCCGCCAAGCGAACAGTTGCCCAACTGCTCTGACATACTTGCTGATCCCTAGGTTTGAGCCGGTCAAGCAGAAAGGGAAATGTGTGCGGCTTGCAGCTAACAATAATAATGACTGATCAACTGATAGGAAAGCCTGCCAAGCTGGCTGCCGCCATGAAAGAAATTACTGAATGACACTCAGCCACCGTTCAAAGTGACCCCTTCGGCCATTTTTTCCCCTCAGCCGCGTCTCCCCTGCGGCGATGAGACGTTGATACACTCCGGACAACGGTCAGAGGCGACGTCCAAAAATGATCTTCAGCAAGTATCTGAATCTCAGTCTGGGAAATAGCAGCTTCAACAGCGCAGCTCTGCTCGGATCTTTTTGGCTAACTGGCGTGTCTCCGAGTTCTCAGCTGTCAGTGTTAAACATAGGGGTTTAGTTTAGTAACAAAACTTGAGCAAAAAGAGTCGAAACTTCTGGTGCAGTCAAGATGCGCTGTTCATCAAATAGCCATGCTTGTCTTTGAGCCCACCCTGCGGAGAAGCTGCTGTTGAACCATCTGGGCTGAGGTTGCTGCATCCTGCTTCCATGGCTTCTCAGAATTGCAAAACAAAGTCGACCTCTTTGGGCTCACCGGCATGAGGAGCTGGCCAAATCTTGTCGCTTGGCTCGTCTGACACATGGCTGAAAACATTGGTTGAGAAAACGCTGCTACTGACACAGGAGACCTAAGGAGCCTCCTTGCGTGACTTCCCCCTAGTAGCTGCTGGTGTTGACCAATTGTCCAGGAAACTATAGAAGCCTCTCTGCGCAATGAGCGTGGCAAAAAAAAAGAAGAAGTTCACAAAACACTTTTCTCAGGAGTGTGTACCTCCTTGGCCAAGGAAGCTTATATGATGAATGTCAATGATCCTTGCTCAGGAGGGTGCACCTCCTTGGTCAGGACACTGATGGATAATGAAAACATGTCAATGATTGTTGCGTGCACCTCCTTGGTCCTGGTCAGGAGGTGTGATAATGAAAACTTGTGAATGAAATCCTTGCTCAGGAAGGTGTACCTCCTTGGCCAGGACAGGAAATCTGAATTCATTATGGAAACACTGGTAAATGATCTTTGCTCAGGAGGGTTTAGCCTTCGGCAAGGCATGTGACATATGAATTTACATGAGTCGATCATGGAAACAGTAACATCTAAACAAGACAAACATGTTTGAAGCAATACGTTTTCTCCAATATGTTAAATCAAGAGAGTTTTGGGCAACACATACATATCCCTGAATGACTTGTAACATATGTTAAAAACCAACTCTATAACCATGTCTTAAAACATAGAAGCACCACCAATCAGCGCAAAGAACCTTACTAAATCCACCCCAGAAGGCGAGCGCCATGAGCTCTGGGAGCCCGAGCGCTCTAGCCGGCAGCGGCGACGCCCGCACCCAACAGACAGCGAGGATGAGGATGACACGCTCCTGGCAGCCCGCCACGCTCGTTGTTTGGCATTGGCTGCAGAAGGTGAGCTCTCCCGGGCCTGCGCTTCCCTGGTGGATCCGCCGCTCCTTGAAAAGAACGCGGCAGTCATTGCTGCCCTCCGGCACAAACATCCCACCGCGCCGCCAGCCCGACCCAGCCTGCTGGCTTCCGGGCCTTGCCCTGTCGGTGCCGTCCCTGACTTTGCAGTGGCGGATGTGGTGAAAGCTGCCCGCAGCTTCCGGCGTGGGAGCGCTGCTGGACCCTCAGGCCTCCGGGGTGAACACTTGCGTGAAGCTTTGGAGAGCGCCCACGGCGATGAGGTTGCAGCCCACCTCACTCGGGTGGTCCAGCTTCTTGTTCGGGGTGAAGCTCCTTTCGAGCTGGCGCAGCATCTTGCTGGGGCCACCTTGCACGCCTTACCCAAGGGTCAGGATGATGTGCGGCCAATTGCAGTTGGTGAAACTTTGCGGCGCTTGGTTGCCAAGTGCCTCTGCTCCCATGTCAAATCCGAAGCCCGTGAGTGGCTTTCACCCCTGCAGGTTGGTGTGGCTGTTCCCCTGGGTGCTGAAGCGGCCGTGCATTCATCCCGGCACTGGGTCCATGCGCACAGCAACAATCCCGACAAGGTTTTCCTCAAGCTGGACTTCGTCAACGCTTTCAACACCGTTGATCGGGCAACTGTTTTGCGGGAGGTGCGGCTGCGCCTTCCCGCCATGGCCCCTTGGGCAGAGTGGTGCTACAGCCATCACACCAAGCTTCTCTTTCAAGGTGAAGCCTTGACATCCGAAGCAGGGGTGCAGCAGGGAGACCCTTTGGGGCCACTCCTTTTCGCCTTGGCTCTTCAACCCTCCCTGTGTGCTGCTGGCCGGTCGCAACTGGACCTTTGCTTCGCCTACTTGGATGATGTCTGCTTAGCCGGCGACTACACCGCCGTCAGCGCAGCTTTAGGCCGTCTCGTGAATGCTGCCCGCCAGGTCGGGCTCCACCTGAACGTGGGCAAGTGTGAGCTCACCACGCTCGGGGGTCCCAACACGAACTTGGACAGCAGCCTTTTCCCCCCTGGCTTGCGCATCAACCATTCCGGGGAGTTCGTTCTGCTTGGCTCTGCCCTCGGCAGCCCCAGCTTTTGCCACCAGCACACCAAGCAGCGTGCGATGCAAACGGAACCTCTCCTTCAAGCTCTGGGCCAGCTGCCCGACAGCCAGACAGCCCTCATGCTGCTCCGTCATTGCGCCTCCTGGTCAAAGCTTGTATACTCCAGTCGGGTCACCCCACCCCCGTTCCATCAGGATGCATTGAAGTCGTACGACCTGGCAGTTCTTCAATGCTTGGAATCTTGTTGCACGGGAGCACTTACGCCGGGGGCATGCCTCCAGGCCACCTTGTCCACCAAGTCTGGCGGCCTTGGCCTTCGCAGCATTTTCCGTCACAGTGGAGCTGCCTATACGGCTTCTGTTCTGGCCACTTCTCCAATTTGCTCCTTGCTGCTGCCAACCTACAACCCCAGCACGGACGCCATCATTGCCAACCTCAACGAGTCGCTGCTCGCTGCCGACCATGTTGCTCTCCCACCGCCGCATTCCCTTCGACAACAAGATTTGTCTCGGGCAGTGGATAGAAGCACGGCCGCCCAGCTTGCCTCGGCCTTCTCTGGGCCCGGCCATGAAGCTTTTAGAGCGCATCTCCAACTTCTTCAAGAACCTGGAGCAGGTGCTTGGCTGCAGGCCCTGCCAAGTGCTGCCCTTGGCCTCCATGTTGACAGCGTCCTCTTCCGCGTCATGGTTCGCCTTCGTCTTCGCCTTCCTCTCCATTCTGAAGATGTGCCTTGCCGTTTTTGTGACGGGGTGTGTGATACCTACGGAGACCACTCTCGGGCCTGCCCTTGTGGTGGCGACAGGACGAAGCGGCACAATCGTCTCCGCACCATCGTCGCGACCTGGGCATCAGCGGCTGGCCTCCACCCTGAACTTGAAAAACCCGGGTTGCTCCCGCCCAGGCTTGAACATGGTGGGGCCTCAGAAGATGGCGTGCGGCAAGGGCCTGGTCGACGCCCAGCAGATGTTTACGTCCCGCACTGGGGCCTTCATGGTGCAGCGGCTTTCGACCTGGCAGTCACGTCGGGGCTGCGCGTCGGGGCGGTCGCTGGCTCTGCTCAAGATGGCAGCCGGTCGGCGGCAGACTACGAAGCTCGCAAGCGTTCCCACCACAACACCGAAGCCACGTGCACCGCTGAAGGGTTGCAGTTTGTCCCTCTTGTCGCTGAAGCATGCGCTGGCGGTTGGGCACCTGCAGCCACTTCGACTTGGAAACTCCTCGCGCGTGCCGTCGCTGGTCGCACTGGTGAGTCTGTCTCCGTTTTGACGGAGCGGCTGCAACAAACCCTGGCTTTGACTTTGCAGCGGGAGAACGCTCGAGCGGTCCTTCGAAGAGCTGGAGACGCCATTTCTCCAACAGTTTCTTTGGAATCGCCTTAGCCTGCCTTAGCCTCCGCCCCATTTGCTGAATGCTCCCTGCACTTTCACTTCCTCCACAACCCGCTGAGCTGAGCCCCTGGTGCCTTTTCTTGCTCCCCTTTGATTCACGAAGTGAATCTCGCTGAAGGGCGATGTTGGGGCTAATGAGCCGCCTGTTTGCATTCCTGGCACATGTTCAGGCAGTGCAGCCAGTTGCCGGCCCTTTTTTTGCTCGCTGGCGTTTGGCTAGCCACGGTGACACCAGCCCGTGTCTCCTTGTTTTTAGGGCCACCCTGCTGTTTTTTCCAGCAAAGCTATATATATGTGGCCCTACTGTATCCTGATGTGAATCACATCAGTGTTTACACAACTTTCTCTCCAGAATGACATGAAATGGAATAGAAATCACCAGATCCCTATGCAATGTCTCTGTACAAGGTCTCCATAAGAGGTGTCCTGTCAAGATCTCTGCAACCAGATTTCTATGCAATGTCTCTGTGCATGGCCTCCATAAGAGGTGTCCTGGCAAGATCTCTGTACAAGATCTTTACGAGAGGTCTCTTGGCAAGATCTCTGCAAGGGGCCTCTGGGCAAGATCTCAACAGATCTCTATGCAATGTCTGTGTGCAAGATCTCTTTATGAAACCTCTGCACAAGGCTCTCTAGAAGAGTTCTCTTGGCAAGATTTATGTAAAAGACCTCTTGGTGCAACAGATCTCTGTGCAATGTCTGTACAAGATCTCCATATGTGGTATCCTGGCAAGATATCTGTACACGATCTCTATTAAAAAAATCTCTGAGCAAGATCGCTGCTCTTTTCACAAGGTCTCTGTACAAGATCTCTATCAGAGATCTTCTGGCAAGATCGCTGTACAAGAACTCTATAAGAGCTCTGTTGGCAAGATCTCTATAAGAGGTCTCTTGGCAAGATGTCTGAACAAGCTCCCTATAAGAAGTCTCTTGGCAAGATCTCTGTACAAGCTCCCTATAAGAAGTCTCTTGGCAAGATGTCTGTGCGAGATTTCTCGTTTAGTGCGAGCCCGCGCAGTCGAAATGCACATGGACATTTCACTTCACAAGAGCCATTTTGTGCGGAATTTACAGGAAATTGGCCGGACACGGATGATACCACCACGACTGAACACCGGGCCTTAACACTTACCATAAGAACCCCTGTGTGGCCACACTGCTTGGGGAAAAACAAAAAGAATTGGCCAGATCCCACCAGGAGAACTTGGAGGGAGTTCGTAGAAGACTTGTGGTTGGTGATGATCTGATGCAACCGTCTCAATCCAAAACACGTTTTTTCACCTTTCACCTCAATCCTGGTGAAAGTGCACGTAGAAATCGAACAGATGGAGTGTGATTCAATGTCGTGTTTCCCACTAAGGATGAACGCCACCTGCAGCAATTTAAGGTTCAAACCAGTACCAGGCGATCCTGCAGTACCATCAAAGCACTCTTCGCCTCGCACGGCTTAGGTGTGCATTGTACTAGTAGAGGTTTTAAAGAATCATAACATTTCCTACCAGCATTCAGGATATCAGGATATCTGAATCCGACACAATACAGTCGGCGCATGTCAGCGTCGTACGCCCTTTGAATGTGCTTCGGTGGAATCAAAGTTTGGTCTGCTCGTGCCTGTTCCATTGTGTCATATCGCAAAACAGCAGAGCTTTTGCTTTTGTTAAGCCTGCCCATTTGGCCGCGTCTCTGACGCGGTCTCTGACATGAGAAACAGATATTGAAGCAACAATCCACCACACCCTGCCAAACTGCAGGGATCCATGTAGATTGGCTTTAGAGACATGGTGCCAAACCCTTAAGAAATTTACGAGCTCATATGGTCGGACAGATAAGAGACCATTCAGAATGCTTTGCAGCGTTTTGGGGGCCTTAGTCAACAAGACTGTGAATGAGACCGAGACTCTCGACGGCACTACTGGCACTCAACTCTCCTTCGAAATTGAACCTCTGTTTCCTTCTTGTGCCTCAAGTATAGAACTTTGATAACTTTCGGCTTGATTATGCCCAGCTGGTCGTGCAATCTCTCCAAATCCTCCACAGACAAGCTTATATAATGCACGAGTTTGTCCCTGATTTGTCAGCAATACCAGAGATTTGAACAAATCAGCAACAAAAGGAACTTTAGTGGGACTCCCCATTTCAGGGCACTCCGGGCTTCAAGTGAGCAAGTCCAATGATGTCAAACAAGATTCACGTCACGCCAAGAGTCAAACACAATTACTACCGACCTCTTAGACAATTTGCAGCATTTGCAAATGACTTCATTCGGACAGAGATACACTCTGAATATTTGTACCGCTGCATATCCTCTCATCAGCTTTTTCTGTGAGTTGGCCCTTCCGGATGTTGACATTCTAACGCATAGAAACTCTGTCCTTCTTGTTGAAATCACTAGGCATGTCCGAGAGATACAGAGTATACCTGCAAACTAAATCAAATGTGATTGGTCAATCAAATGAATGGAGCGTATATTGACAGCAAGAGCATCATCCACATAATCAATTTACTCCTAAGATTCCATTCTTCAAACAGACTGAATATGATTAAATTAAATAACATTGATAACCTTTATTTATGATAAACAATGATAAACCATCTCAAGATTCAGCATCTGAGCTCCGTACGGATCCTGCTGAGGTCCAGCTTCGAAGTGATCCGAATCCCTGTCCCGGGCCTTGCACCGCTCAGGCCGCTAGAGGACTCGAAGCTTAGACGTTCTTAGACGTTCTTAGACGTTCTTAGACGTTCTTAGACGTTCTTAGACGTTCTTAGACGTTCTTACATATTCTTATACGAAGGAAGTTACTCTGTTGAGACATGAAACATCTTGAAACACGCTGAGAGTTGAAATCCAACGTGCTTTTGCAGTCTTGCGCTGACGTCTTGCCTGGTTCCGATACCCTGAGGTCTTGCCTGATCCGGGATGATCCAGACATGGATTCATATTGTCAATGCACAAAGAAACCAGATCCATAAGTTCGTGCTGCATGTATCTAGTGAATGTATATGAATGCAGTGTACATCATGAACACATACAGTAACATGTTTGACAGAGGAACAACCCCCGTGTAATGAAGTGATACTTTCGAAAACAATGACTTTGACTTTCCAATGGTATCATATCCATTCATATCCAGTGTCTATGACATTCTGTAACTTGGACCTGCCAGATCTGCGAATTGTTGTGAGAGTCACATCATCCTCCGCTCTGCCTGGACCTTGTTGCCGTCCTCTGATGCCGTTCCTGAGCGAATCCGAAAGATTTTGCCATTTCTAGGTCCGACTCATATCTTCTTTTTGGACATTGCTTGAATTGCATTTCTCCAAAGAATTCGGTCGCGGGGCATTACACAGACATGCTCAATGTGCCAGGGAACAGGAGATTAGCACTATCAGAGCTGCTTTATGGAGGCGTTTCCAGAAATTAGTAAAATATCGAGGTACACCCCCCTTCGAGCTATGAGTGATGAAACCGTAAAAGCAGTTTATTGCAATGCTCTAGGTTGTGACAGTATGCGACACATATAATTATCAATAACAATACATAATATATTACATATAAGTACTAATAATCGTAGCCACTACACTAATAGTTATAATCATAATAATGATAATATGTGAGTATATGTGAGTGAATACTAAGATAAGTGATCACATGTAATATGTCCATGTCCCGTTAGCCACTCCCGACCGCTTGGAGGACTCAGCATGACTCAGCTCGGCCCAGCGACTGGCCATGAGCCCCATGTCGCACATCAGATGCGAGTCCAGCAATCAGCCGCCTTGCCAAGTTATACAAAAGATAAACACAGGCAAACAACATCAAACAGAGACTTCTCAAATATCTTCAGGATTTTTCAAGTCATTTCAGATTCATGATTCATGTACTGTACGTAATATGTACGTATATTCATGTATATTCATGTATCTTCAATGTTCGTTTCCGATATCCGAAGCAATCCTTGCGATTCTTCCCTTCTTCCCTATCTCGGTGCAGCGACCCGAATCCCCTGTGCCAATAAGCCTGGGCTCTCCGGATCTCGGATGGACCAAGCTGCCCGAGAGACTGACAAGTCACAGGACGTTGAGCATGGCACCCGTTGAAACAAAACAAACACGTAGGAAGATATAGGAAGATATAGGAAGATATAGGAAGATATAGGAAGATATAGGAAGATATAGGAAGATATAGGAAGATATAGGAAGTCAGTGGATGAGATCCATATGAAATTCCCAGCGTCAACGCAACCCAACGTTGCAGTCAACAGTCATTCTCCATGGAACTACGCCCCCCAACTGCCAGGAAAAGTCACCCCAACTTCTTCGCCCATTGCAAGCGCAAGACGAAAATGAAAAAATCCAAAAAAACTATCATCCCAAATGTGCAAAACACCATGAGAACGCAAGTCACCCCAATGGTTTCAAACTATGGAAAACAGTAACACAACGATATATTTCGATATCAAAACGCCATGTAAACGCATGAATCATGTATGCTTGGGTAAAATATATATCTTTTGTTACAAAACGCATCTAACTCCAATGTTCAAAGTATAACACAAGTACATCTAAGAAATGTCATCTTTTGGGTTCAGAAGACAATGCGAACGCATGATTCATGTAGGCATTGGTAACAAATCTATGCGGTTCTGATTTACATCTCAACGCAATGTTTCTGCAACCAATTATTCCCACCTGACTCTGCCTCAGCCAACCAGTCTATTATAAGTACATTTGAACGGAGCCCCCAGGTGGGTCTTAAATCACGGGTTCTGAATGAGGCCAAAAGCGAGGCCAAAACGAGGCGCGAACGAGGCCAGAAAATAGCTTTGGAAACCCTTCAGCTCATGATGATATCCGGCAGCCATTTAGCAGCAGCCCAGCATCAGCCCGACAGCAGCCTAGCAGCAGACCAGCATCTACTGTAATTAGATGAATCGATGCAACTACTCTAGAATGGCACCCCCCCCCCGGCAGGGCGACATATGAAATGAATTTGCTCGACGGATTCGCTCGACGGTCACATGATTGAGCCAGGCATGACAACACAACAAGTTCACCAGTGTAAACGCAAGCTAAAGGAAGCAATATTTGCTTCTAAAGCATCATTTTCTATCTTACGCAACTGGTCCACAGCAACTAAACGCATGTTGGGGCGACTTTCCCGGGAAGTCTCCCCCCAACTAAACGCAAGATTTTGGATCGGGCGGGGTGAGTTCACTATACGCGAGTAGGAAGTCAGTGGATGAGATCCATAGGAAATTCCCAGCGTCAACACAACCCAGAGAAATGTGGTGTGATTTGTGTTGACACAAAATATCACAAAATTCAAGTGTCAGCATCGTCATTGGCATTGTGAACATGCCTGGTGCAGATGCGATGAAAAAGCCGGAACAGGTTCTCCGCCCGATTAAAAGTAATCTCGTAGGTCCAGGATAGCTGTGTGCTCTGCCGGTGCCCGACTGGGTAGCTCGGACATACTAGCATAGCCATGCATGAAGAACAGCAAACCCTCTGCATTCGAGATATTCGAGTAGCGAAGACATCATTCCCAAATTAGCAACTGCCTAAGACTCATGGGACCTATCCTCCCAACCGCTCAGGTGATACACTGAGGGATTTACAATGATTTACGGAGAAAATGCATCGTTGAGGACTCTTCTTGTTTGCCAAAGTATCGGCAAATGCCTAGAAATGGCTACTACATGCTACTACTACCTTTTCATGGCCACTCGAAGCCTGTCTCATTGACCCAACACCTACCGTGTGGACAACGACATCATGACATTGTTAACCAAGCCCAAGCCTACTTACAGCGTTGGAAGCAGCTGCTGCCGTCCTGACATTCAGTGATTAGGAACCTGTTTTGCAAAGTTCAACTGTGAAATACCCAAATTCAAAATTCTCTGTAGTTTGCTGACCTACAAGTTTGATTGACTCTGCAGGCGTCCTGTACTGCAAGTACGCGTGACGAGTGAGACCTTCCGCATGCATGGAAGATTGAACAAATCAATGGCCGAAAGGTCTTGAAATCTTAAAAACGTAAAATTGCCAAAAGAAGACTCTTTGTTCTAGTGCTGTTGTGCCGTTACCCTATGTTATCCCATTCACCTCAGTGCATGTGTCCAGTCTTGTTTCATGCCATACTGATATTGTAAGAGTGTGACTACCGAGTCCCATTCAGTACTGCAGTTTATCCAGCAGTCCCCAAGATGTAGGTCAAACTTACTGCCGCATTTCTCAGATGGAAGAATTAAATCTTCCAAGCACGACAAATAAACATAAATAGAATTAAATAAACAATCTTTGGATATCTGATGTCGTCACCTCCATCGCTGGAAGGCATCATTCGTGCCTCGGCCGTGCTTTGCTAAGGTGAATTCCGGATTAGGCTTTGATGAAATTCTTGGAATCGCGTGTCCAACTTGCCTGTAGCATCGGAGACTTCACAAGAGAAACAGGTTCAATTCAAGTGATACCCACGAGAATGCTTTGGGCTTTGCGAACTGCGTTGCTTCCTCAAACAACCGTACTTATGAAGATCCGGACGACTCTCTTGAATAGTACACAGAAGACATGTAAATTATCTAATTACAATGAACAAACTTCCTTATCTCCTCTGCAGGAGAATCTTGCAGCTACCTTACATCCAGATACAGAATTGTATAAATAGAGAGTCGCATAGAGTCGCTACATGTAACTACTACGTTTTTGTATGGCCTGGTATAGCAGGGTACTTCTTGGCCAATTGCTTCTTTACAGAGTTTGGCAGGGATGCATAGAAAGAATGGCACATGAATTCAAGTTGGAAGCTCTTCCGCTTAAATGCTGAAATTAGATGAAGTTAGATGAAATTCAAGTTCAAGTCATGACATGGAAGAATACCAGGAAATCATAGCGCGAGCTGCTTCAGGACAAGTTGCGGTCTGAAACTCCTCCATGCCCAAGGATAAATGAAAGCTCATCAAATCTTTCTGTGACCAATCCGCCGGGACCTTTGTGCTGGCTCTGGTGAAACTGCGCAACTCTGAAGGCACTGACACCTTGTAATTTGGGGACTTATTTCTCGATTTAATTATTTGATATTATTTGAATGTTTGTTCAAGCAAAGAACCACCACATCTACAAAGCCAACATTGAGCCTGCTCAGTCAGCTCAAATAGCAAGTTTAGAAGGTATACTTACATTCTGCTCGAAGCAATCTGTGTTGACCACAACTCCCACGCCTCCCGAACTAGAACAATGGGATCATCTACCGGCGGAGCCTTGCAAAGCTTAGGCTTAGGGGTGTGAGGAATAGCCGGAATAGGAGGAAAGTTACCAGGATATTCACAGAAGAAAAACACCCCAAAGTCTTGACTGATGACACTCAATCTGGGCAGGGAAGGAACCTGAGTCCATCACCTCCCTCTAGATCCTCTATCTTCAGTTTGCAACAAAGTGCCACAACATGCTGCCATCTATAGCGATCTATAGCCATCTATAGCCTCTAGCCATCTCAAGCCTGATCCAGATCTTGTACAGTAAGCCTTACTCCTTGCCTTTTGATTGCTTGGCTTGTTCCCACAATTCTGATTTCCTGCCTTCGGCATTTCCTTTGGTTGGATGGGCCCACGATCAGGAATTTTCATTCCAGCAAGCTTTGCGCCTTGGCCAAAATAAAAAGCAGAGCTCTTCCGAGGCAAGACACTGGGGATCTCAACACCGTCTCGAGTAAAATATCTAGTAAAATAGTGTAAAATGTAAGACGAGGTGGTTTGCACTAACTACCTCTCTCCCTCTCTGGGTACAGTCTTTGACGCTCTCCACCTTATCGCTCTGTCCATCCACCTCTCCATCTATCATTTTCTATTCATATTTCATCCATCAAACGCTCCATCCGTTCTTGCCACCAGTGAACACTTTCTCAACTATGTCAGCAGAAATTGGCGCGATATGTTTCAATTCTGACGTTGCGAAATGCAGCGATTGCTCCGGATGCAACACGCCCGAAGTGACCTTTTCACTCACTACATTTCCATCAACTTCTGAACAATCTCTCGAAGCGCAAGCTAACAACGAAGTGGTGAGGAGCAGGTCACAAGCGGCTTGAAATCTCATGTCGACCGTGGAGTTGTGGCAATAGTTGTGCCAACTTGGGTAAAATGTTGGGACCGAGGTCTTGTGCAATGCTGCCATCAACAAAAAGCGTTGCGTGGGCGCAAATGAGACCAAGGAAGATCGAGTCTGGCAACGTCCAGCCCTCCACAAATGCAGCAGCAGTCCCAGCTAATAAAGCATCACCTGCACCAGTCACATCACGAACATGATCAAGCGGTTTTAATCTATACCATCGCAAAGTGCAATCAGAGTGATTTTGCTCGGATACTTCCACGCTCAATCCAGGCAATTGCTGAATTGGCTTGTCATCTTGAAGTTGAAGCAACCCAGCAACATCAAGTTCGACTTTTTGAAGTATCCGTGGCTTTCCAAACTTAGTAGGCATCGCATCTGCATCTGTTTGTGTCGCCAGCACACACCCTTTAGGTCCCAGAGTTAGAAGAAGATTTTTAGCAAATCCAAATCCTGGGACTAGAGCTTCTGCGACAGCTTCAATCACAGCTGGTGGCAGTGCTGGCGCTTCTGGCGCTTCTGACCATTCGATGGAGCCTTGGCCCCTCCACCCTAGCATGGCCAGTAGCTCGTCCCAGTTAGGTGCGGCCAAGTGCCATGGTATTCTCTGAACTCCGCGTGGCGCTTTGGCAACGGAGACAGGATCAAACCACATACAGGTCTTGTTGCCGGATGCTGCTTGTAAAGCTGCTTTGAGAGCTTCAGAACCTCAAAGGCAACAGGGCAAATCATGTCGAACAGTTTCAATCTGAATGCTGCCTTAATTATTCCTGACAGTTTCAAATCATAACCACAAGGTATAACCACAAGGGAACAAAGAGTAACAAAAAATGTTGAAGTAACGACGAGGTCAGAAACTAAGATTGGCCTCACAAAGAACAAGTTTGATGCCATCAAGTGAGCCACACCTGTGTCTCAGTATTTCTGGCTGGATGTTGTCCAAGATAGCCATATCTGCAACTGCACCCACCAGCTCTCCTGTTCCATCAAGTAGAGCTGTGTAGGTTGCAGTGCGAAATGTGTCCAAGACAGCCACATCTTCCACAAGGAGCCCCAGCTGCCGACAGTGACTCAACAGCTGCCTTCCAGGCTCATCGCCACCCACAGCAGACAAAAGGTGCACCGCACAGCCAAGACGCAAGGACACCTCGGCCAGATTTCTGCCGACGCCACCGTGCGAGATCCGAGCCTCTCCTGGCATCGATGTGCGTGAAGCACCATGCTGCTGCGAATCAAAGGGGCGCACAATGCAGTCCACCACTGCTCCACCACAAACTAGAAGGCCGACTGGGCCACTGCCATCACTATGAGCTCGGCCATGGCTATCAACGTCACTCATGGATCCTGCAAAATAACACCCATCACTTCCATATCGATCCATGCTAGGCATTCCTACTGCACAAGCCAAGACCTTGTTCATTGGGCAGTAATCTTCAAACGTCTGTCAGCTACGCATGGCTTTCTTCAGTCAGATTTCATCAAGTGCCTTTTTTTGCGTCAGCCATTGATGTACATGATCAGTCTGATTGCTGATGAGCAGTAAAGCTGAGGCAAAACGACAGGACTGCGGACCCCAATCATACCAAGTCTTATACATTTGATCGATCCATATCGATCCCATGGTGCAGACAAATGGCGAAGTGGCCAGTACCGGCCGTTGTACTCAACGGGCAAGCCGGAGAAGACCTGTGATGGCTTCCAGCTTACAGACCAGCAGAAAAAATGTATTCTTTGAGATTAGTGGCCTTCTGTTGACAGGCTCAAATGAGTAACCAAGTATAGACATATAGATAATATAAATATATGTCTATATGTATATATATACACAGTTATATACATATCTATCTATCTATCTATCTACCTATCTATCTACCTACCTACCTATTACCTATCTATCGATCTATCTATCGATGGATCTATCCATGGATCTATCCATTCATCTATCCATCGATCTATCTATCCATCCATCAACCCACCCATCCATCATCATCTATCCATCTATCTGTATAATATATATATATATTCTTTCTTGTGCTGTATATAATGTATATAGATATATGCACAACATTTTCTTGGACACTGTACGTTGCATGCATTGCATGACATACTCAATAAAAAGAATCCAGCTCAGGACTATTCCCAGCCCTGCTGCGCACACAGCATCTAGGCAACTTTAAAAAATGGGGACACGTGAATTCAAAATGGATGTCAAGATATGTCAAGTGATGTCTCATGTCGTGCCTCCAGAGCACCATCTGTGGTGGTGGGATCAGTGTACCGGAATATGGCAGCGCAGCTTGCCTCTGCAGCTGAACGTCTGCAAGTTCACAGTCAGAATATGTCAGAATGACTATGAAAAGAAGCACATAACAATTGAACCGTCACCATCCGTCACCCATTGTGGTATTTTTTATGTATTTTTATGGATCTTGTAGTGCAAGCAGTGTAGATGAAATTGCTGTATATTGCTAGAATGTCCTCGAGCCTGGGTTTCTGTGGAATCATGAAGAAGCCTCACAGCAGAACGTTGCAACGGGATACAACGGGATACAATGGAGTACAATGGAGTACAATCGGATACAACGGGACAAAGCAACATCGATGATATCCAGATCGATATCCAGCTTTTGACCAAGGACTAGGCGACTAAAATGGCTATCAAACATAAACAAACCGTGAAGCTCTGGGCCTTGCACCCTGGGCAACACCTTGCGGCCTTATAGGCCTTCCGGCCTTCCTACTGAAGAGGATTCTGAGGCTGCAACTGAAAGTCCACTGGCAAGGGCAACCCATATGCCATGTGAAGTCTGCTGATCTGCCAGAGGCTGGATCTGTGTGACCGGCATCTACCAGAGACCCTCGCAAAGATATGAAACTGTTAAACTATCTAGTGAAATTCGAACAAATTGCGTGCAAGGTGTTTGCTTTACAGGCCCTCTTTCAGGTCCTTTCAAAACATTTCAGAATGAGCCTGACGCTGACTAAGTTTCCGTGTGAACGATGGAAGACGTATTCTTTTATGGTGCCTTGCACTCTTGATAAATAGCCTTAAGTTTGAACCTCAAGAAAGAAGTTGAACCAGCACAGAAGTCCTGCCTAAAGTCTTCTAAAGTGGGGTTCTAGACTTGCTCTCTTCGCTTGCCTTGTCGCCATCAATTGATCTTGGCAAATCGGCGAGAAAAATCGCACAGCGGTCCTCTGCATTTGGCAAACATGCTCGACAAATCTTGACAAATAGATAGTAATAGATGTTGATTTTTCTCTGGTCTTCTGATTTGCGTGCCAGGACGAGTGGAACACACAGGTTTTCTCAGAAAATCTTTACATCGTGCCATCCTGACAAGGACCAAAACAGTTGGCAGCATCACAATGTCCTGGATGAAAGTATCCGACATGGCTGGATAATTGCAAACCCGCCATTCAGCACATAACTGGCCAAGTGAAAACGGGTCCCTCCAAGAGTGGGTGGAAAGTTTCCATCTTATCAGGTCTTACCAGGTACCTGTAGAATAAACTGAAAGAAACATTGGGAGTCAGGTCAAACCAAAGGAAAAACACTACTCAAAGACAGACTGATCAGAGGGTCTGATCAGCCCAAGCGCGGCCGAAGGGTCGGCAAAGGCAGAGTTGTTGCCCACTGTGAGCCAAGATGTGGTCAAATCGAGTCAAATGAATGAGCACTGATCCCTACTTGTCTGACTGCGGTCTATTGGAAACACTGCCCAGATTGCACCCGCATGCAAGTATTGCATATTATTATTGCAGTATCTAGTGCGCAATCATGTATCCTTCCGCATTTGATTTGCAATGCAATCAATACATATCAAAACAATAATCAAATTACCAACCACCCGAGACCGACGGACTTTCCTACTGTGCATCAAGCACTTGAGGATTGAGCAAATCATCTCAACCTCTTAATGTATCGAGTATGGGCAGTAGAAGGACCTACCAAAGCACTACAGCCACTGTGGCTCATGCTTCGCTTGTTCTTGGCCGGATGGCACAAATGGTGTCCGTTGAGCTTGCAGAGCCACACCGGCCTCACCTAAGAGATCTTGAGGATCCAGTGCAGCTTCACGCTGACAGCGAGATCCATTGTGCCGGTCGTGGTGACGACCGAAACACTCTTGAATCTTACTGGAAACCATGAACGACAAGAATTGCACCAAGTACATTTGCATGGATTTGTGCCATCTCTCTCAATCGTAATTTAGAAACATACGGGAGATGAGCATTTGAAAGGGACTTCGATGCAAACTAGTCTAGTTGCTCTTGCGGTCCGCCCTTCACCACCCATCAAAGCAGCAGTGAAAGCACATATTGGAAATAGCTGGACCTTCACTCTGACAGAATCTGATAGAATGGACGACAAATCAACAACGTCACCATCCTTGTGAGAATGGGCAAGCATCTTACCAACGTAGAAGATAGTTCAAAGTTAAAATTCTTCATTGCCCATATTGTCCTGACATCATAGATCATCATGGCACAAAGCCCCCATCAAATGACACCCCAACCCCTGCTGTAGGCAGGCCAGCCCCGAACCCAGGACCCAGGATTCCACAGCAGGAGTCTCACACCGCTGATGCAGAAGAGCTCAACCGCTGGATCTCCCGTGGAAAATTCTGTTGAAGTTTGGGGCCTTGAGGCTCTATGTGACTGCGACTTTGCTTTTTCAGCTTGATTTCGCTGTCAGAAGCGTGCCGCGTCAATCAACCTTCTTTCCTGTCTTCATGGAAGCCACTAGGACCACCTGCACAGTTCGGAGCAAGACCACCAAGTCATACAACCTTCCAACATGTTTCAACTAAGTATTGCCAGGTCCTAGCACTCAGCGACCATCTGGAGGATTGGTCTCAATCCTCATGATCCATGTTTGATTCCAAGGCGTTTTGAGCATAACTGGGCATGTGAGACCTTCTGCATGCAATCCCGTCATGTCAGTCTGCGTTTGCTCTTCCGAGACAATTTCATAGATCAATCTTGCCTGCATCACAGCACCAGCCAGCAACCATGACACTATGATCGAGAAGACAGTCTGAGTCCTTGGTGGTCAAAACAAGAGCAACCTGCAATCGAAAGATAATTGATCTTCTCCTCACAGCATTTGGCAAACAATTTTCAAGAGTTTGGATATGTTCTGAGGATACAACATCATTCTTCAACCAACTTGGCAAGATTCCTTCACACTTCTACCATCGCACTTATGTTTCTGCATTGCGCATCTTTTTTTCCACCGCGAAGTTCTGCCATTTCTATCTGCTCAGGCCATCCTGTCGAGCACGAAGCTAAAGGAATGATCCAAATCGATGAGGCAAGACAGGCATGGGCCTGAGCTCTGCCAACCGGGCATTTGTCATGGGATTTCCTGAGAACCAAAGATCTCCATATTTCTTTCCTTGCGTGTACAGAAGATCAAACTCTAAAATATTCTAAAATGACATTGTGAATTTACTGTCTCGTCTGCTTACAAGTCTCTCCGCCAGCAAAGAACGTGAATACTACGTGAATCAAACTAATCAAACTGTAAAATGGCCACGAAACAACAAACAACAGTTCGATAGTCCGATTCCTCCAAACACAAATCGAACTGTTGTTTGTTGTTTCCCAAACATGACATCGACTTCTCCAACTCAGATCTGATGAAATCTCAACCAAGGTGCGGCGGGGATGCGAGGCACGCAGCCTGCACGGCCAGCCTGAAATCTGCCACGGGATGGCTATGCCCATCTCAGGACCATCTGAAGACCCATTCAACTGGGAAATGGATGGAAATGGCCTATCAAAATCCGGGTAATGAAGTGTAGTTATTTAATTTTTTCGGATATCTGCTGGCACTGGCTGTCATCTCAATGTCAACTGTATCAACGCAGAACTCCAAGTCCCTTAAAGTTGTAGCTAAGAACTGGGTCTGATTCACAAGTAAGAAATATGTGGCATTTC